TTTTCTGACGCAAGGGTCATCCAGCAATTGGTTACCCATTGTAGAAAGGATGATCAGGATAAGGAGGAGGAGGAGGAGGAGGATAACCACCGCGGTATCTCCTTGCATGGTGTTCCCAGCCGCGTCCCATGGGGCCCGCCAGAAGAAAACGGCCAGTGATGCGCCGCTGTACCACCGTGGAGAGTTTGGAAGGAGCGTGCAAGGCCACTGCAGCACTCGGGCGCCGCCAGTTCCTGTCTCCCCTCTCCTCCCTCCCTGCCCTTCCTCCTCTGCCCTTGCCCCTGTTCTTCCCTGTGCCCCTTCCCCTCTGTCTCCCTCTCTCTTTTTCGTCAGCCTCATCCCCCCGCCCCCTGCCTCCTTTTCCCCCTTCTCCTCGTCTGCGTCGTCGTCCTCCTCTGCCACCTCCTCTCCGTGCTTTTTCACCCTCCAGGTCGAGTGTGCGTGAGTGAGTGAATGAGTGAGAGAGAGGGAGAGAGAGAGAGAGAGAGAGGGAGAAAAATATAGATGTGTGTGTGTGTGTTTCGGGAGGCTTGATTCCGCCATGCTCGTGGAGGGTGCAGTGTCGGACGCGGCGGTTTGGGACGGGTGCAACACATGGACGTTCCTGAGCGCCTACCATTTTGGTTTGGTTTGTACTGCCCCATTCGAGAATTGATGCCCATGACTTCTGCATCAGCCACCTGAGTATGTCTGACTTAGCACTTGTCAGCCGGGGTAGTCTACTGCTCGCGTTGGGAGCTATAGCGTGATTCCCCAAGCGCCTTCGATACGCGACGTACTCACTTCACTGCTTTTCTGCCTTCCTTCGATGTTGTAGACGTGCCGTTTTGAGACCAACTGTGCGGTTGGAGTACGACGATGAAGTGGCAGTGGGTTGTTCAGCCGATGTGCTGATCTGGTTGGCCCCTGTTTTGCTGCTTTCCTTCGATGTTGTAAACCTGCCGTTTTGAGACCAAGAGTGCGATCGGAAAACGACATTGAAGTGGCAGTGGGTTGTTCAGCCGATATGTTGATTAGCTCTTCCCAAGGTAATGCTATCATCGACTTGACAGACCACGATCCACGAAGTTGACCTTCCATGGCTCGGCGCCAAGGCTCCGTCCACCGTTGCGGGGATAAAGCCCAACGACTCGTGAAACATCAGAGCCCGCTCGCCAGACGGTGGGTGCAGGAGGGCAGCTCCATGGTAGCATTCTCAGGCAACACGCGCAGTCAGAATATCATGGCCTCCACCTTCTGAGTGGGAGGCATTGGTGGTCGGATGTCTCACGCTGCGTATGTGCATTCCCAGTTTGTGAGCAGCCGCTCCGTATCCCAGGGATGCTTTCAATGAGCCCGCCGCCCCCCCCCTCCCGCCGAACCGCCGAGGGGGCAACGGAGGACGGAAGGGCGCGTCAGCGGCTTTCGAGGTTTATGATCGCCGTCCTCCTCCTCATTCCCCTCCTCTTCCTCCTCACGTTCCTCCTCCTCCTCCTCCTCCTTCTCCTGCTTCTCCTGTTCCTCCTCCTGCTCCCCCTTCTTCTTCTCCTCCTCCTCCTCCTCCTCCTCCTCCTCCTCCTTCTCCTCCCAGAGGTCCCAGGGCAGCGAGCATGGGGAGGAGGGCCCCGGGTGGCACCCGCTGGTGAGCTCCTCCCCGGGCCCCTCTTTCACGGGGCCCTCCCCCCTCCTGGAGCTTCCCGCGTGCACCTCCCCCCCGTCCTCCACGGTCCACCTGGGCCCCCCTTCCTGGCCACTGGATCCTCCCTGGCCTTTGGATCCTCACTGGAACTGTGGAATCTTCGGAAGCAAATCGTTGCCTGAGCGTCAGTTAGCGACGAATAGCCTCTGGGAGTCGATGAAAAAGCGCCGATTTAGCGTCGATTAGCGTCGACTAGCGTCGAATCAGCGTCGATTCGCGAGAGCCGACAAGACGGTATGGGAGGTTCCCATGAGCTGCCACCGAATGGAGTTTGTGGATCCTCTCTCCGGGTGCCTCCTCCCTTGGTGCTTCCTGGGGCCCCCCTTCCCCTCCGCCTGCCAGTCCCGTCGCACCCCCCCCCTTCGCTCTCCCTTCGGCTCCCCCTCCGCTCCTCCCCGCTCCCCTCCTCTCCTCCTTCGCACCCCCGCCCCCTCCTGCCCCCGCCCCTCCTCCGTCCCCGCCTGCCCCTTCGCCCGTTCACCCTCCCCCCCGTCTGGGCCTCCCAAGATGGGGTCCGAGGAGATGGGGTCAGAAGCTCGCGCCACATCGCCGATGCAGCGCCAGTCCGGCTCGATGCGGAGCCCGATTCGCTTCACGCCGATGCATCGCCGACGCATCGCCAATGCATCGCCGGTGCATCGCCGACGCATCGCCGATGCATCTCCGACGTATCGGCGATGCGGCGCGATCGTCCGATCCCATCTGCCCCGACCCCATCCAGGAGGCCTCTTGTTACCCCGCCGTCTTTCCCGCCCTCCCTCACTTCCGCGCCCCTGCCCTTCGCTCTCCAACTCCCCACGCCTGTGCTCGGTGGTGGGCTCGGGCCCTGCGCTGCCTCTCGGTGCAGAGCTCTGGCAGAGCGGATGCGGGGGTGCAGGGCGGTCTTGGTGACACAAAAAGGTGCGCTGGGAGTCATTGAGCATGGTGTAATTCCTAATCCTACTAACACAGTGAGTTCGTGGCCCAGCCTAGGTCCACGGTTCTCATGGATGTGCGTACACATGGGTATTTTCGTCTGACACAGCTGCAAACGAAACTCCCTGTCCCTAAGGTTTTTGGCCGTCCTGACTGAGGTCCTCTCCCAAAGGATTGGGGGCACTTTCAATTGCTTATTACGAAGGGCGGGGTTGAGGTCCAGGGGCGATCCGACGCAGGGGGAACTCTCGAAGACCGACGCGAATCTGCGGCATGACCACCCGGTGAGACGTACCTGGACGGCAGGCGGATTCCGTACCATCAGCTGGCCTGACCGTTTGGGGCAAGTCCACGGGGGCGATCCCTTGAAGGAGGGAGGGGGGCCTTGGGGAGGGAAGCCCATGGAACAAAAGCACAGCCCCTGCACAGGTGGCCCCCCCACCTGACGACGCCCACACTTGGGATGACGCCCGCAATAATCCTGATTACACCGATCCTGGTCAGGACCAGCCTGGAACCAGGATCGGCGTGGCCGAGTGGGTGGTTTTCCCCGTTGGGTCGGGGCCACTTCTTTCGCCACCACACATGTCATTCAAGGAGAACATTGTGTAGCCAGTTTTTTCGCTGAGCTCAGGTTGCGTCGAGGAGTAGGGCGAAATAAAACAAGCTTTCACGGCCGAGTGGTGAACGTTTTCCTATTTGGTGTTCCGACATGGAGAGGAAGGGTGGGGGAGGGGAGGAGGGGGCCTGGCTCTGGACCTCTGCTTAATGCGACTGTTTGCAACAGTGAATCTTACGGGGAAGACTCCACCTGCCCGAAACATGCACCACCCCGCCCGCACAGCGGCGGAGCGCAGCGGGCGCAGGCTGCCAGCGCGCAGCATGGATCAACTGCAAGCGTGCTTGCAAGCTTGCAGAGGGGCACTGCCAGCGACGGAGGGGAGAGGAGGAGGAGGAGGAGCAGGAGGAGGAGGAGGAGGAGGAGGAGGTGGAGGGGAAAGAGGAGGAGGAGGAGGAGGAGGAGCAGGAGGAGGAGGAGGAGGAGGAGGAGGGAGGAGGAGGAGGAGGAGGAGGAGGAGGAGGTGGAGGGAAAGAGGAGGAGGAGGGGGGGAGGAGGAGGAGGAGGAGGAGGAGGAGGAGGAGGAGGAGGAGGAGGAGGAGGAAGGAGGAGGAGGAGGAGGAGGAGGAGGAGAGGAGGAGGTGGAGGGAAAAGAGGAGGAGGAGGAGGAGGAGGAGGAGGAGGAGGAGGAGGAGGATAAGACGCTGCTTGGAGCCGTCGCGCAGAGCACTGGACGGCCACCTGAGAATGGGGAGGCGCAGGCCTCCCCTCGGTGCTACAAGGACGTGCCACGCCCACCCGTGGGATCGCGGCGGTGGCACGCAGCAGAGCGATAGCAGCACCGGCGGGCGGCGCGGGGCCCCCCTCGGTGTCGAAGTTGAGCTGGGCGAGCCGCGGGGCGCGCGCCACGCGCGCGCCACTCGAGACTCTCCGATCCGCCCGACCGCCACGAACAGCAAAGAAACAAACGCGTTGAAACGGACACCAGGGAAGGAAGTTTGAGACCTGGAGCCCGAAGCGGCCGCGAGGCCGATTTCCAGAAGCAAACGCCCAGAGAGCCCACGGACAGGTCCAGAGGGAGTGCCCACGGGCCCAGGCAACTTTCTAAATCCCTCGCGACTCTTTGACTCACCTCAGCCAGTCAACTTCAGGATCAGCTGAGGTGAGAGGACGAGGAGCTGGGATCAATCGCGAATTGGGCCTCACCTCGTCGCTGGGAAGGCATCCAGCAAGGAAGAGGCGACGATTCCGACTAGCATGCTCACCCAACCTCGGGGGCGGGGCGTAATCCAACAACATCTGTCCAGCAATACCTGTGGTGTATTAATCTCCACAGCGCACACAGAGGACAACCGACCCTGGGGAGACCCAGACAACATGGCCTCGAGCGTGCTGTGACTGCACCATCCCACGAGCGGGCAACACAGCAGCAGGGACAGTGGCCTAAGCGAGCGAAGCTCTTCCAGACCTGACTTGCTGGAACGTGCCTAGTCGCGGGCGAACGTTCTGAGCAGGCGGCACAACGGCAGGTCCTTCACGAGGGGGAACGACGAGGCTCACCGACGGGGGAAGGAGCGGACGAGAATCAGGCGAGGAGGAGGAGGAGGGGGAGGAGGAGGAGGAGGAGGAGGAGGAGGAGGATGATGATGATGATGATGATGATGACTGATGCTGATGCTGATGCTGATGCCGTAGCCATTTTGGCTCAAGTTCAAACCGCTCGGCCCTGGCGGCTTGAGCTTGTTCGCAGCCAAGGGGCTGGCTCGATAGCCCCCAGCGATTTCGGCATCTCCTCTTCCTGGACTCTTCTCTCACGCCCCAGTTCCTTGTCCACCAGCGGCGCGCGCCATGAGTGGCCAGCATGGCTCTGCCGCACCCACGGAGTCCCAACCTGCTACGCCGCGCAGCGAGCAGGAGGCGCCCCCAGCGAAGATTGCCAGAGCTGGTGGTGATGACAATAACGAGATACGTGCTTATGTTGATCGGACTCGGTCTGAGCTGTTCGGCGCCCTCGACGGCGTCAAGCGGAGCCTGTCTGGCATCACGGAGAATCTGGACAAACACTTCTACGGGCTCAGCCAGCAGCTGGAACAGCGCTTCTCCAGAGTTGAGGCGCGAGTCGACAACCACCAGAAGTCCATCACTGACATGCAGGCCGAGATCGCCGAGATGCGCCTGCTCCTCAACTGTGTCAAGACGGAGACCCCGACCACCACGACACCTGTTTCTCAAGCATTTCATAGAACGACGAACCCGAGCATCATCGTGGTTCGAGCCCAGGCGCTCGTCTCGTCGGCGAAGGTCGCGGAGTGTATTGGCCCGTGGCTCGCCGATTGCAACCTCGACGTGGACGACTGGGAGGTCTCCACCCTCGAGGGCCCTGCAGCGCGTCGCTTCACAGTCACCATCAGAGGCGCTGCTGGCTATGCTGCCAGGAAGGTTGCCCAGTGCCTCGGCAACCTCAGGAACCACGACAACACATACAGGAGGTTCAACACTGTTGACGTGGCTGGTCAGCAAATACAATTGTTCGTGTCGAGCGACAAGAACACGTTCCAGATCAAGCGAGAGTTGTTCATCAAGCAGGCTCGCAAGCTCCTTTCGGAGAAGTACGAGCACAAGCGTTTCTTCACAGACCGCGGCAAGGGCGAGATCTCTTGCCAATGGCGCCCCATCCTTCGGATCACGCCGGTCGACGGGGAGGCCCCGACGATCGAATGGGACCGCACCGTGTGCAGCGAGCTGGGCATCGACAACGACGGCATCGGCATGCAGCTCAAGACCCTGTTCTGTGGTCCTGAGGCCCAGTGGAGCTCCTAGCAGTATTTTCAGCTTCTTCCCTTCTTCCCCTTCTCTGGACATGATCATTAAGTTCAGTACTTGGAACGCCCGCTCTCTCTTCCACCACGACCCCAAGACCCGCTCTCGCAAGCAGGCCTACCTTCGCTCCCTCCTCCGCGGCTTCCAGTTTGTCGCCATCCAGGAGACCCATGGTTCTTCCGAGGACCTCCAGGACTTCCTGCATTTCAGCAATCACAATTTTGAGGCTGTCTTCTCGGGCTTCGACTCCAGGCGGAAAGGAGGTGTGGCCACCCTGCTCCCCTCCCCGTGCTCCTCCTTCGGCTTCGGCGCTTCGTCTAGCGTCACAGGCAGGGCTCTGGTTGTGGGCAGAGCGCTCTACACCTGTGTCAAGCTAGGCTCGCGGTCTTGTGGGTGCTCGGAGATTTTCACCATCCACCACTTTAACATCCATAACTTCAAGCTATCTTCGGAAGAGGTCCGTCTCATCGTCTCATACATCGACTCATCTCTGGAACTTGTTCGTTGCCATCCTCATTCGCACTTTGTGGTGGTGGCTGGTGATTTCAACTTCTCGAGCGAGCCGCCGCGCCCGACCATCCCGCCTCCGAACTTTGCCCTTGCGCCGGTGGTGCAGGAATGGTTTGCATCGCGAGACTCTGGCTGGAGGTCCACCTTGGGAGCCATGATCGAGATCGATACCCCTGACATGACACACTACAACGGCACATTCGACCATGCGTCCAAAATCGACAGGATTTTTGTCTCGGGCCCCAGTTGGAGGCTTACTCAGATGTCGATCACGGCTGCCACGATAGAGACGCCTGAAGCCCTCGAACAGCGAGGGATTTCAGATCATGCTGCGCTGCAAGCTGTGCTTCGATTTCGCCCTCCTCCTGATCCTGACTCTCAACCTATCCCTAAACATCTCTTTCGACATCCTCGATTCCGTGAATATGTTCTAGCCGCCTGGGATAATATCGACACGTCGAGCCTCTCCCCTCCGCTGGTCCTCCTACAGTGCAAAGAAGTGATTCGTGAAGGTGCTCGTCAGGCTCGCAATAGCTTCCTCAAAGGGAACCCCACGGACCCCAAACGCAAGATCCTCCTTCTCAGGGCTATTGCCAGGGCAGCATGGAGACAAGATTTTCGAGGCGCTGGGAACCTACTACAGTACGATCTTGGGAGGGAATTCTTGGACCTGGATCTCGCTATCCCGTCTCTCTCCATCCGCAAGCACGCCGAGTTCTGCACGCTCTTGGACTCTCTGCAGCTGGCTGACGCCGAAAGCGAGCAAGCTGCAATTCGTCGTAACATGACGGAGATCAGTGCACCTGCGAAGTTGGCGAAGTCCAGACGCCGTCTTCGTGCGCTTGCCCGCCGTGCTCGTCTCTGGGCACCGTTCAACCGTCGGCTGCACCTCTCGGGGCTGAGGATTGGCCACAACACAACATCATCGGAGGCCGAGATTCGGGAGGGCATCTCGGATCACTGGAGGCAAGTTTTTGGGGCTAAGTCTATCGATATTGAGGCCGCCTCTACCTACCTCGCCCGCTTCGCCCCCAAGATCACGCTCCCCGACCTGGAACCCCCCTCGCTCCTGGACTTCCAGAAAACGATCCTGAAATCAACGGACTCTGCTCCTGGACCTGATCAAATCCCCTACGCGGCCTGGCGGGCTGCTCCTCACTCTGCGGAAATCCTGGACAGGGTGTGCTGGTGGATCCTCGGGGGCAACCACATGCCGTTTGGTTTCAACGCTCTTTTGGGTATCTTCGTCCCGAAGCCTGCCGATGATGATCCCTCGGCAGAATGCATTCGCCCAGCCAGTGGACTCCGACCCCTCGGACTTAAGAACACAGATAACAAGCTGATCACATCGGTTGTATTTCGTCGCCTGTCTCTCGCCCTTCCCCACAATCTCTGCGACATCCAGCGTGGATTTGTTATGGGAAGAAATTTCGGCCAGAACGTGGTCGAGATCGATGGCTTCGCTCGTCTCTACTCCGCCGACCCCTCAGCCGCCTCTCTCAAGCCGGCCCTCGTGAGTTACGACTTCGGCGCGGCATTCCCGAGTCTCTCTCACCAATGGATGCTCATGGTATTGGAATCCTGTACACTACCTGCCCCCTTCGTGTTCTTTGTGATGGAGATATACCGCTGCATCACATGCTACGGCATAAGTGCCGACTCCAGTTCCCAGCTCGTCGTGCTGTTCCAGATCCTCAGTGGCATTGTTCAGGGGTGCCCGGGGTCGGGCGCTCTTTTTGCAATATCGGCAGATCCGTTTCTTCAAGATATGAAGTTGAGCGTAGAAGGTCGCAAGCTGGGCATTGTCAGGGCCTGTGCTGATGACGTGGGGGCTGCCATTCGTCAACTGTCCGCGCTCAAGATTATGGCACGTATCTTCAGGGCTGCTGCGAGAGTGGCATCACTCAAGCTCAAGTGCAGCAAGTGTGTGGTGGTCCCTCTTGCCTCTCGCTTCTCCCCTGTCATCGCCAATGACTACAAGAACTGGATAGAGCAGAACATTCCTTCCTGGAGTGAGTTCCCTGTACGTGATCAACTGAAGTACCTAGGCATCTGGCTCGGGCCCTCTGTCACGACGGAGTCCTGGAGAGAGCCTTTCGCTAAGTGGGTCGACCGTGGTTTCCAGCTTGCTATTCAGGGTGCTCCTGCTGGGACTGTTGCCCACTTATACAACTCCAGAGTGGCCAGCGTTCTTTCATATGTCGCTCAGTTTCTCCCTCCTCCTTCGGACCTCCCCCACCTCGAAAGTGTTGCTATCGCCCGCCTGCTTCGAATTCCGCACTGTGCTCTCCCTCGGTCTGGCCAGCTGTCTTTGCACTCCTGGGGCGGCCCGCGATTCCACTGTTTGACGTCCACTTGCTGCTCCTCCCTCATCCGTGCTAGCAAATCTTCGCTCAATATCTGGCCATCTGTGCTGACAGCACTCAGAGAGGCCGCCGAGATACATAGAGACGAGGCTACATTGGCGAGCCTCCCTTTTTCCCCTCTGTATCCCGACTTCTGGAAACAAGCCTCGTTCGCTGAATTCCTGGCCGCCGCGTCTGAAGGATTCCCTCAGGATATTGGCTCGGGTCTCATTTCCTCCTCCCTCGCCGCGAGGAGGCGTGTGTCTGCTGCTGCCCTTGCCGCCCTCGACTCTCTCCGACTGAAGACCGAAGCCACTCCTGCAGGACAGACGTTCAAAATACAGAGATTGCTCACCTCTGGCATGCGTGAACAATTGCACCCAGCCTGCCTCGCGGAGGTGTTCGCGCAGAGGCTTGCCAGTTGGCTCCCGATCACGATTTCCGATGCTCGTGCGCTTCCCTGGTCTGACATCCAGACTACGGTCGCCGCGCTACCGACAGCGAAAGCGCTTGCGGTCCTCAAATTCCTGATGCATGGCTGGCCCACTGCGGCCCGCTTTCAGCAGAATGAGCCCTGCAGGTTGGGCTGCGGTGCCCCAGCAGCAGATGCTCAAGAGCACTATTGGCGTTGCCCCAGATTCCTCTCCCATCTCTGCTCTGTTGTTGATCTCCCTTTCCTTGCCTCGTGTCCCATTGCTCGGCTGGGCGTCCACCATCCGTCCCGCGTCTCTCTTTCCATTCTTGCTGCTTCCACTTGGCTTTACCACGCTATCCGAGCTTGCAGCCCAGAGCCCATCTCTAATTCAAAGGCCGCCGAAATCGCGATGACGGTTCGGTGGCAGATGCGGCGAGGCTAGACGAGCTCGAACTTCATTCCGAGGCACGTGCGAGGAGGAGGAGGATGAGGAGGAGGAGGAGGAGGAGGAGGAGGAGGAGGAGGGAGGAGGAGGAGGAGGGAGGAGGAGGGGGGGGGCGGGGGAGGCCGGGGGAGGAGGGCGGAGGAGGAGGAGGAGGAGGAGGAGGAGGAGGAGGAGGAGGGGGGGCGGGGGGAGGCCGGGGGAGGAGGGCGGAGGAGGAGGAGGAGGAGGAGGAGGAGGAGGAGGAGGAGGAGGAGGAGGAGGAGGAGGAGGGGGAGGAGGAGGAGGAGGAGGAGGAGGAGGAGGAGGAGGAGGAGGAGGAGGAGGAGGCGGAGGAGGGGGAGGAGGAGGAATAAAAATAAGAATAACAACAAATATAACACTACTACTAAACATATTGTTACTTTTTTTTTATTAATAATAATCATAATAATAATAATAGTAGTAGTAATACTGATAATACTAATAATAATACTAATAATAATAATACGAATAATAATACTAACAATAATGACAATAATAACAATAATAATAATAATACTCTTATATACTAATAATGATACGAAGAATATTTATACTACTAAGAATAATAATACTAATAAGAATAATAATAATAATGCTAATACGAATAAGAAGACGAATAAGACGACTAAGAAGAAGATGAGGTGGAGGAGGAGGAGGAGGCGGAGGAGGAGGGGGAGGAGGAGGAAGAGGAGGATGATGATGATGATGATGAGGAGGAGGAGGAGGGAGGAGGAGGAGGAGGAGGAGGAGGAGGAGGGGAGGAACAGCAGGAGGAGGGGGAGGAGGAGGAGGAGGAGGAGGAGGAGGAGGAGGAGGAGGAGGAGGGGGGTCCGTAGCCATTTTGGCTCAAGCCAGGCACCCCCAACATCTTGGCTCTATGTGCTAGCTCATGGCGCCGGATGCCGGGTGTAAGATGGCAGCGGGGCTCGCACCTGGTGCGTGGCGAGACATGGAGAGCGGCGCGGCAAGCAGGCGCTTGCGGCGCGCGCGGGCGGTGACAGCAGCAGACAATCTTGTGAGGAAGCTCGCGAGCGAGAAGGCGGTGCTGATGGACCAGCTGGAGGAACTCAGGGCGGTGCTTGGAGACGACTCCGAGCTCCCCAAACGCCTCCAGCTCGTGCCCCCCGTCCTTGCTGCTGCGCTTAAGTGCCGCACACCGTCCAAGCTGCAGGTGGCAAAGCGGAACACGGCCTCGCACGTCTTCGACATCAGCGCCGACATCTTGGCTGGCTCATCCCAGACAGAGCTCAATTCCATCCAGACTCGCTCGAAGGCGGTGGACCATGCGCCTGTGCGAGGAGAGTTCCGACGCGACGCTTCTCCTTTTTGGCCGCAGCGGCCACCTGGTGTCTGGCCTTTTCTCGACGCGCCGATGGAGGAGCTGGGCGATAGGGCCCCTGAGGGGGAGGACTGCCCAGTCGCAGGCTTGCTGGAGGCGCTGCTCGAGAGAGCCGGGGTCGGGGTCCACCCCCCCGATTCGGAGTATGCTGAGGGTGGATTACTGGGGGCCAACGGATATGCGCCATGCATTTTGGAGGTTCACAGCCCGATGGGGGACAGCACTGTTGTGGAGCTCTGCGCAGTGCGTGCGGCCACCATTGTACCCTTCGCTTTCACTGGTGTGTGGCCCCAGCCTTTCAAGAGAAAGCTCCTCCACGCTATGCGCGCGGACGCAATTGCTCCCTTTGCGTACTCTGGTAAGTGGCCCCAGCCTTTCAAGAGAAAGCTCATGGATATGCAGGTGCTGGACAGCGCCGAATACCGACAGTTTGTTCGCGATGCGCCGACCGTTCGGCACTTCCCAGCTGCTGCCCCCTCTGCTACCTCTCGTGCCAATGGTGATGGACTGCAGGGCATTGGACCGCCCGCCGACGCGACTTGTCAACAGCAGTAGCGTCTGCAATGAGGAGCTGTATGGGCCTGTTTGGCACGTTCACTATTTGAATCGCGTGCATTTTGCTATTGTACCGTTGTGATTTATGCCACACTTCGCGGCTTGGTTGGGTTGTTCACAATTGGCTGTTTCTCACGTTGCAGTTGACTGGTGTATATCCCGCCACGCATTGTTTTATCTTCGGTGCTTAGTTTGTTTTCCTTGCAATGTATTGTCTCTGCGAAGGAAGTCTTGGCCGGATTGCCCACGTGCTGCTATTATGCACCTATGTTGTTTTTTATTCCTGCCATGCGAATGATCGTATATTCTTCACTTCGTTCCCTCGCAGGTTGTGTTGATGAGTCATGCATCGCTTGCTGCAGTGATTGTCCTCCTGTAGCGTGCTGCGCTTCTTGGCATGCAGGTCTCACGCTCTCATTGTCTTCATTTCTTGCACTGCGTATGTTGACCATGTCTCCATGCCTTTTCGTGCACGTTGCCCTCGTTGCTTTGAGGAAGGCCAACCATAAAGTGTTGTGTGGTTGACCCTCTGTTTCAGAGGTAGACTTGCTACATCAATGTTCTTCTTTGTGAGCTCGTGGAATGCCCCTGGCGCCCCGGAACGCGCGGTGCGATGCTGATGGGGAGGAGGAGGGGGAGGAGGAGGAGGAGGAGGAGGCGGAGGAGGAGGAGGAGGAAGAGGAGGAGGAGGAGGATGCGGAGGAGGAGGACGCGGAGGAGGAGGAGGAGGAGGAGGAGGAGGAGGAGGAGGGGGAGGGGGAGGGAGAGGGGGAGGGGGAGGGGGAGGAGGACGGGCTAGGCGCGCGCGTGTCATATCTGACATCCGACCCTCCCTCCCATCCCTCACCGTGGCGCAGATCCCCTTTTCTACTCGCACAGTCGGATGTCGAGCAGGGCAACGGTCCCGAAAAAGGGTACGCGATGCATTGTAGAGCACGGCGTGGCATGGCGTAGAAGAGCACCGCGTAGCGTAGTATCAACCTAGCATTGCGTCGCATGCCGTGGCATGGCACGGGGAATGACGCCACCGCTGCAGCGGGAACACGAGTCGAAACGAGCGGAAGCGCGGGAATAAGGCCAGCGCTGCAGCGGGAACACGATTCGGAACGAGCGGAAACGCGGAAATGAGGCCAACGCTGCAGCGGGGGCACGATTCGGAACGAGCGGGGCCCGAAAATGAGGCCCGCGCCCCAGCGAGAGCAGCATTCTGAATCAAATGCAAGCGAACACCCAACTCCCGGGAACCCTGTGTGTAAAAAGGCAGGACGCGGGGGGAGGGAGGCGAGCACCCCCAGCACGTCATCAGGGGAAGAGGGAGAGTAGTATTCATATTGAGTAAGTGTGGAGGAGGGGGTGGAGTGGAGTGGAGTTGAGTGGACCCCGTTGCGATGCAAGTTCAGTTTAGTTTAGCCTGACCTGGGTGGGGCACTCGAGCGAGCCGACAGCTCGGCTTGACTCAGAGCCTTGGGCTGTGACCCCCTGAGGATCCTGTCGGGATAGTCCCTTCAGTGCTTGGACAATCTAAGCTTACATGATGCTTTCAGTGAGCATATCGCCTTATCAACGACGGCCCCGCAGGAGTGGGAGGACGAGGAAGGGGAGGAGCAGGAGGCGGAGGAGGAGGAGGAGCAGGAGGAGGAGGAGGAGGAGGAGGAGGATGAGGGGGGGAGGAGGAGGAAGAGGAGGAGGAGGAGGAGGAGGAGGAGGAGGAGGAGGAGGAACAGGAGCGTCTGAACTGGCCTCCGACCCCCGCCGTGCTCCTACTCAAAACGCCCGCCCTCGTCGGCGCACGCGGCAGCAAAAGCCAGGCAATAGACCTGATCAACGACCCACAAGCGCTGGCTGACCGCCTTCTGCAACGGGTCGCGGCCCAGCCGCATCGCGCGGGGGGATGAAGGATGGCACCACAGGTTCGCGTTGTGTCGGCCGACGGCGACCTCGCCGTCGGCGTTCAACATTGGACGTCGCCAGCGATCCAGAAACTGTCGATCTTGAACGATCTGACGTTTCGGAAACGGCCGATCGTTAAAGATTGAACGATCTCCGCGGTGTCAGGAACCAGCAACGCCATGATCGTCATGGCACGAACCTGCCGTAACCGATGCCCCGTGCGCCTGATAGCGAGAAGGGAGTGACAGGGGGGGTGATGATGGTGGTGATGATGATGCTGATGATAATGACGATGACGATGACGATGACGATGCTGATGATGATGATGGTGATGCTGATGATGCTGATGATGATGATGCTGATGATGATGATGATGATGATGATGATGATGATGGTGCTGCTGCTGCCGATGACGATGATCGTGATGACGATGACGATGACGACGGTGTCAATGATGGTGATGCTGATGATGAACATGATGATGATGTTTATATTTATTATGACGATGGTGATGCTGTCGATGCCTATGATGATGGTGACGATACTTATGATGTTGCTAGTGATGATGCTGTTGCTGATGCTGCGGACGATGCTGATGATGACAATGCTGATGCCGATGACGATGAGTTGATGATGATGACGATGCTGATCATGATGATGCTGATGCTGATGCTGATGATGATGATGATGATGATGATGATGACGGTGATGCTGATGGTGCTGGTGATGACGATGGTGATGATGAGGTTGACGGTGATGCTGCTGGGGGTGATGATGATGATGATGATGATGATGATGCTGCTGATGCTGCTGATGAGGGTGATGCTGATGATGATGATGCTAATGCTGGTTATGCTGATGGTGACGATGTTGATGATGATGCCACTGATGAGTATGCTGCTGATTATGATGGGGGTGATGACAATGATGACGATGACGCTGATGCTCACGAGGTTACTGGGGCTGCTCATGATGCTGAGGGTAATGATGACGCTGGCACTGATGATGCTAATGCTGCTGATGATGCTGGTGGTGATACCTATGTATGTTGTTGGCGGTGATGATGCTGATGCTGATGGTGCTGCTGCTGATGAGGATGCTGCTGCTGATGCTGGTGATACCGCTGCTGCTGCTGCTGTTGCTAATGATGATGCTGGTGGTGATGATGGGCATGCTGATCCTGATCATTATGATCATGATCTCGCGCTGATATTGACGATTATGATGCGGATTCTGATGATGATGCTGATAGTGATGCTGCTGCTGCTGCTGATGATGATCATGATGTTGATGACGATGGTGACGACAATGCTGATGATGCTGTTGATGACGATGATGATGATTCCGATGCTGCTGATGATGCTGATGATGACGATGCTGCTACCGATGATGATGAGGCTGATGATGATCATGCTGCTGGTGATGATGATGGTGATGCTGCTGCTGAGGGTGATACTGATGCGGATGATGCTGCTGTCCGTCGAAGATGGTGATGATGGTGATATTTCTGCTGCTGACGGTGATGGTGCTGACGATTCGGATGCTGATGTTGATGATGATATTGATGCTGATGCTGATACTGATGCTGATGATGCTGATGATGATTAGGACGGTGATACTGATGATGGTGCTGGTCATGATGCTGCTGGTGATGCTGCTGATGATGATGCAGATGATGATGATGATGATGACTCCGATGATGATGTTGATGATGCTGCTGCTGATGATGTGGATGCTGATGGTTGTGATGATGATGGTTGTGATGATGGTGATTTTGGGGATGATGATGATGATGATGATGGTAATGCTGGTGATGATGATGATGATGATGATGATGCTGATGATGATGGTGATGGTGATGCTGCTGATGATGATGAGGATGATGGTGATGCCGGAAGACGTATATATGCATGCGGCCGGAGGGCAGCCCGAGGGGCGAGGATGGCGCCACGGGAGGGGATGGTTTGCCAGGCCGCGCCCGATTCCGCCCCACGGAGCGAAGCGACGCGCTATCAGCACGCTGGACATAGCGTCCACCGCCGCGGCACGTTACGCACAGGTCCCCGACCGCAGGCCTAGCGCGGCCCTGGGGACGGAGCCGAGCCTGACGAGGTCGCAGACGGCAAGAGGGCAGACTTCGTGCAGGCGCGCGTTGCCTCTGACGGATGTGTGGCAGCCAGGCCTCCATGCGAAATCAAGCGCCACGACGTAATGTTGGCCCTCGACGTTGGGGCTTGTGTGAGCCCTGCCCCGCACCAGGATGTTGAGACCAGTCGAGACCGCGGATGTTGAGAAGTTGGAAGCCTTCCATGGCCAGGGTTTGATATTTCGCGCCGCACATGGGTGCAGTGGAAGAGTGTTTGGCAGCCCGTTGCACACTTGAACGTAAGCGTCACGGCGTGCGTAACCCAGGTCTTCGAGCACGTGGCGCGTGCACTGAGGTTACAACTGTTACAAGGCAATGCGCAGTAATCTTCACAGTTGTTACAAGACAGTGCCCACGCGACAAGGTACGTCCTGCTCGAAATTCAGGACCTGTATTGAGCAATGCACGACGTCCCAGCCCAAGGGGAAGCCAGAGCAGCCTCCCACTGGAGTTGACAGTTTGTTTTGCTGTTTGTGTTGGGTTGTGTTGTTGTCACCTTGAGCCCCTCTGGACTCCCATCCCTGCTGCTCCCCCTCCTCACTCTTCCCCGCCTCCTCCTCCTCCTTCTCCTCTTCCTCCTCCTCCTCCTCCTTCTCCCTTTCCTCCCTTTTCTCCTCCTCCTCCTCCTCCTCCTCATCTCTCTCTCTCTCTCTCTCTCTCTCTCCGCTCACTCCCATCTTCCCTCCCCTGTCTTGTGGCGCGCTATACCCAGAAAACCATAACCCAGAACAGAGACCCCCCCTCACCTCCCCCCTTCACGGCCCAGAACAGCGGGCACTCCTTCGACTCACCGCTTCAGCGGCTGTGCCCGCCAGGCGCAGCGACGCGCACGAGCGGGGCTCCGACAACTGCACACTTCACGCCTCCTCAGAGCGAGAGCGCCGCGAGCCCCCTCCCTTTTTCCACCAATGGGGTGCTCAGATCGTGTCTCCTGGGCGGGAAGTTATACATGACCACCTCCGGGAGGATCCATTTTCGGGGGCCTCGGCAGGCGGTGGATATGGACATACTCGGGCCTCCAGGGGCCGAACGATATCCGTATCCACCGCCCGCTGTAGCACCAGGACGTCGGTTCCCAGGCGGTGGACATGGACAAATCCCCGCCTCGCACTCCCTTCTTCCATCAATGGGGTGCCCAGATCGTGCCTCCGTCACTGGCCTCCGCGTTTGGCTACCCGCAGCGCCTCCCACTCGGTTGCCCCTCCTGCACATCATCACAGCCTCCGCCGGGCCGCTGCCCCAGCCCGTCTCGCGCTGCCCCTCCGCCCACCACTCGCCTCCACACCGCCACTGCGCGAGAGCGCTCGGCAGCCCAGCCCACCCCTCGCCTCCCCACTCAGCGATCATCGAAGACGACAACCACACATAATCATAAACGTTTGGCGCTCCGCGCGGATTTCTTGGATCCGCGCTGGGAGCCCCCTGGCGGCTCCAAGCAAAATCTACGCGGAGCGCCACAAGTTTATGTTTGTGTGTTTTGTTATTCTTCTAGATCAGATGCCACGGCGCAGCTGGCAACACGTCTTTTTCCAACACGTGCAGTAAACGGGCCTCGGCGCGCTCCGCTCCGCTCCGCCCCCCCCCCCCGCCCCCGATGCGGGGCCCTGAGCCTTGCCGGCCGGGGTCCAGAGTTGCAGTTGGGTCCCATGCCAAGAGCCACCCTGCTTGCCTCCAGGGTGCCCTGGGTTTCTGGGGTGCCAATGGTTTTGCGATGGAGAACGCGACGTTCCCACGCCGAAGCTCCATTCGGGGGAGCGTAAGACCCGGGTTTGCCAGGACTCGGGTTCGCCATCGTTTTTTGACGACCGCGCCTCGGATTTTGACGAGGAGGAGTTTCGTGGGATGTCTGCAGCGGGAGGCCTCGTCAAAATGCAGGCTCGGCCTCGTCATTTTTTTGACGACCTCGTCGGGGATTTCCGAGTCCCCCGTACCCGGGTCTTACGTCTCCCCGATCCATGGGCGTCCTGGGGTCTCAGGGTTGGGCTTTTTGTGGTTCTTGTGGGCTGGCCTCCGCTGTAGGCGCGGTGCGGAGGAGGAGGAGGAGGAGGAGGAGGAGGAGGAGGAGGAGGAGGAGGAGGAGGAGGAGGAGGAGGAGGAGGAGGAGGAGGAGGGAGGAGGGGAGGAGGAGGAGGGGGGAGGGGAGGAGGGGGAGAGGAGGGGGAGGAGGAGGAGGAGGAGGAGGAGGAGGAGGAGGAGGAGGAGGAGGAGGAGAGGAGGAGGAGGAGGAGGAGGAGGAGGTGGGGAGGGGAGGGGGAGGGGAGGGGGAGGGGGAGGGGGGGGGAGGGGGGGGGAGGAGGGAGGGGGCCAAGGGGGCAAGGGGGCAAGGGGGCAAGGGGGCAAGGGGCAAGGGGGCGGGCGAGGGGGGAGGGGAGGGGGAGGGGGAGGGAGGGGTGAGGGGAGGGGAGGGGGGGAGAGGGGGAGGGGGGGGAGGGGGAGGAGGGGGAGGAGGAGGAGGAGGAGGAGGAGGTGGAGAGGAGGAGGAGGGGGAGGGAGGAGGAGGAGGAGGAGGAGGAGGAGGGGAGGAGGAGGAGGAGGGGGAGGAGGAGGAGACGCTGCTCGGGGCTCGCTCGCCCACACGCCCTGGGGGAGCCGGGGGGGGCCGGCCGAGGGGCGGCCGTGGCGCGCGCGGGGCCCGCGAGGTCTCGAAGGGCGGCGAGCCCTTCCTCTTCAGGCTCGGCTGGTGTCTCGGGCGGGGGGGGGGGCAAGGGGGAGGGCGAGGGGGAGGGGAGGGAGGAGGAGGAGGAGGAGGAGGAGGAGGAGGAGGAGGGGAGGAGGAGGAGGAGAGGAGGAGGAGCAGCAGGAGCAGAAGGAGGAGGAGGAGGAGGAGAGAGGAGGAGGAGGAGAGGAGGAGGAGGAGGAGGAGGAGGAGGATGGGGGGGGGGGTGGAGAAGGCAGGAGAGTGAGAGGGTTGTCGCGAGCGAGGCCGGGAGGGGAGAGGGGGTTTGCGGGAGCGGCCGGGGGGCGGGATTGGAGGCGTCGGAGGGGGGAGAGAGCGGGAGGGAGAGAGCGGAGTAGGGAGAGGGAGAGGGGAGGGTGCTGGAGGGGGGGCGGGGAGGGGGCGCGGGGAGGGAGAGCGGGAGGGGAGGAGAGGGAGAGGGGAGGATGCTGAAGAGGGGGGGGGATGCGCAGGGGCGGCGGGGAGGGGAGGAAAGCGGTTGCAGTCAGCGGGACAGGAGCCGGGCAACCGAAGGCAAGCCAGATGCCATGTGCCACACCGCCGTCGCCGTCGTCGTTGATGAGAGCGCCCCCAGTACCATTGGGTTCATTTCGACTCCTCCGCCTCGGCTCGATTGGGCTTTGACCGATTCCGATGCCGACTCGATTCGACTTCGCATGCCGATGTGGGACTCGGTGTTCAATGGAGGCCTCGCTGGCCTGCCGATGAACGCCGGTTCGGCTTCTCCCGACTTGGCCGCCGATTTCCGCCGATTTGGTTGATTGAGATCGTCGATCCGAGTTATCGATTCCATTCTGGGCGCTCCTGGCACTGCTGCCGACGAGGGCCGCCAACGCCGCCAGTGCTGCCTGCTGCCAGAGTCACTGCCCACACTGTGCCATCGGTGCTGGCGCCAGCCCCCGCGTTCTTCTCAGTTGGAAGACTGGCTTTTATCGCACCGCAGTCCTCATCCCCTTCCTCCTGAAGGACTGCACTTCGCCCCTCCTCCACCATTCCCTCGCCTGGCTTTGGGGGTCGCAGGGATGGGCGGCCTGCCGAAGAGGCTTCTGCTGCTACACCTCGTGGCTCGTCTCGTGGGCCGGCACGAGCTGCTGCTGCTCAACCTGTGCCCAGCCCTCGACCCCCGCCCGCCCAGCGCCCTCGCCATGCCGGTCCCGACCCCCCCCCCCCTTCGCATGCCCCTCCGACCTTTCCAGCCTCCCCGTCTCCCCCCTCCTCTCCACCTGCGCGTCGCCACAACACGGGGCGGTCTGCGCCGACATTGGCGCGCAAGCTGCCCGCGTGAGGTCGCGCCTAAGCACCCTCGTCTCCGATGTGGCATGCCGCGATGGCGGCCCGCATAAGCCACCGCGTAAGGTCGCTGTGCCATCTCGCGTAAGACCCGTTTTTGATCGTCGCTCGCCTGTCACCTCCCCTCCCTTTCACCCACCTTTTTCCTTCCCGCTGCCCTCCCGCTCTTCTCCTGTCCCGCCCTCACATTTCACCTTCGCCGCTCCCCTTATGATGTTCCAACCTGCTTTGGCCTGGACCGCCAGAAAGGATTTCGAGCACCGAGGAAGTACCGAAACTGGAGGGTTTTCACGTGTCGGGCTCCGGGAGGCGATTCTCGTTCGACATTTTTTCTCTACCTTTCTGGGTGCTCGAATTGTTGTTGGGGGATTCGGTCCTCAAGTACGATGGGAGCAATAGAACGCTCCCCGTTTCCTCCCCTCTTCCCATGCCATCTCCGATCCTTCTCCCTGCCCAGAATTCACGCGGCAAAGCGCCGCTTGGCCCCAAGTCCTCGAAGCCTTCGAAGTGCATGCGCAGGAATCGATGCGCCGTCTGCTCCGCATGGCATGTGCGATATGCGCACGTGCATGAGAACTGTGTTCGTGATGTGACAACACCGAGTGTTCACGTTCTCCGCAGGTGTGTTCAACCGAGCCCATGGGCATCGTCTTACGATGCGAGTCGCCAACATGCGTGTCATCGTCATGGCTAGGGATGCAGGGGCCATGCGTACAATGCCGGTAGCGTAGTGATCGGATTCCTGTGCTGTCATCCGGCTGCCTGTGGCAGACCCCGCCTCCGCGTTAGCTTTGCGTCGAAGTCCAGAACGCATGTTTCTGCCGAGGTCTCTCGAGCAGTCCTGGTAGACTGACCCTGTGCAGGGTTCATTTCGATCCGATCGATCCGATTCGGCATCGGTTCGGGCCAGCCTGGTTCGGTTCGATTCCGGTGCGCGGGCGGTCCGTTGCGGGCCGATGGCGGTGCGCGGCGCGGCGGTGCATCCTGGCGCAGCCGATCCGACGCGCGTTCCGATCCGATCCGATTTTCCGATTCGATGGGCTGATCTTACCTTGCTCGAGTGACATGGGCACCCAGTCTCGGAGGTCCGCGCGGACTTCTCGGGTCGGCGCCAAGGGGCCCCCCTCCCGCACCGGGGGCTCCAGCGCCGATCCGAGGGATCCGCGCGGATCAGTCAGCGGCAGTCAGTCTTTACTCAGGAGAGGAAAAAACACACAGACACAATTAATCCTCGACTCTCAGAAAATATGGGAAAATATGGGAAGTGGGGGGGAAGACAGAAACCCAGAAAATATGGGAAAATATGGGGAATCTTTTTATTTGTGTGTATTTATTTGTGTGTCCTGGGGCCCCTTCATTTACACTCATGCCATCGTTCGGTCTCAACTCCCCGGGGGCTCGCTGTACCCATTTCATCGCCCGTCTGCAGCGCAGATGCGCGTCCATTGGCATCCATTAGTGTTCAGGGGCCGATGAGACAACGCCGATTCGGCGTCGGTTAGCGTCGATTAGCGCCGGTTTGAGCGTCGGTTGGCGCCGATCTCGCGTCGATCAGCGACGATCTAGCGTCGATCTAGCGTCGAGTCGCAAGAGCCGACGAGATGGTATGGGGGGCTCCCATGAGCTGCCACCGAATCATAGTTTTCAGGAGGGGAACAAAAAACACACAGACACAATTCATCGTCGATTCCCAGGAAAATATGGGAAACTATGGACAGTGTGGGGGGGGAAGATGACAACCCAGAAAATAATATGGGGAACGTGTATACTTATTTGTGTGTCCCAGGGCCCCTTTGCGTTTGCTTTCCCAGTTGGCGGGATCCTGCCTGGGGCAGTCCGTCGGGGCCTCTTCGGTGCAGCGGCGCCGTGGCGTGCCGCGGCCTTGCGTCGCCTGCAGGAGGAGACGAGGAGGGTGGGGCTGGAGGAGGAGGAGGAGGAGGAGGAGGAGGCGGTTCGCTTCTCACCTTTTCACCAATGCGCCCCCACCTCCGCACAAGGCTTAGCCGTGGGAAAGTAGCAGGACAGAATTGCGGGTTCCAGGCACCGCCCGATCTACCTCGAGTCAGTCACTCAGGAGGAGGCGGGGGAGAGTGAGGAGGGATGAGGGAGGAGGAGGAGGAGGTGTTGTGCCACGTGTTGCAGAGCGGGTCGTGGTGCGCCAAGGAGTAGAGGAATACGGGGAGGGGCGAGCAGGATGATGATGCTGATGATGCCGATCATGATGCTGTTGGTGATGATGATGCTGATGATGCTGATGCTGATGCTGGTGCTGCTGATGATGCTGATGATGACGATGATAATGATGCTGCTGCTATGAATTGTGATGATGATGATGCTGATGATGATGATGATGATGACGATGATGATGATGATGATGATGATGATGATGATGATGATGATGATGATGATACTGCTGCTGCTGCTGATGATGATGATGCTGATGATGATGATGATGATGATGATGATGATGATGATCATGTTGATGATGATTATGATGCTTATGATGATGACGATGGTGGTGGTGGTGATGACGATGATGCTGATGATGATGATGCTACGGAGGAGGAAGAGGAGGAGGAGAAGGAGGAGCAGGGGAGCAGAGGCGGACGATGTGTGGAGGATTCAGGTCCCTGGCGAGCCCAGGACAACTTTTCGCGGTGCTCTTGCGCTGTTTCCGTGCGTCTCCGCCGCGAGGCCCATCTGCGCGGCTCCACCATGGCCCCGCTGCGGTTCCATGCTGGGTCTGTCGCCGTCCCGTTCGTTGGCAAATCAGAGGCCTAGGGGTTGACACCAACACTACTACCGGCGGTGTGCCACCACCGAGGGAAGATAATCCCGATCTCGGTGATTGTGGTAACCTTCGGGCTTCCTAGGTTGCTAAATATTACCAACGACATCAAAAGCTATTATCATTTTCTCCCCGTGGAGGCATCCCCTGCTGCTGGTGTTGGTGCCCATGTCCAAGCCTCCAATCGGAGCCCTGTGCGTCCTTGTAATTCTGCCTTTCGTGTGCGTTAGCGTGCGCTTGCGTCCGGCAATCGATGGAAAAGCGCAGAAGGAACGTCGATTCGCGCCGATTGAGCGTCGAAACCAGCGTCGACTCAATGTCGATGCGCGTCGATGAGCGTCGGGACTCGCCAGAGCTAGCGCGCAAGATGGCATGGGAGTCTCCCATGAGTTGCCACCGAACCGTTCCCGAGCCCTGTGAGCTCGCCCGCGCTGCAGGGGGGTTTCGTGGGGCCTTAGGGCGCGCGCTGCGCATGGCTGCTCGCCTGCCCCCTTTTCGAAAGACGTCGTGCCACATCGGGGCCTCGTGGGTGGTCCCAGTGTGAACGAAATCGTGTGGTCCTTCATGGGAGCCTCAGAGGGTTCCAACATTCCTTGCGGTTTGGGGGATTTCATTTGGACGTCGTCGGATTTGATCGAGATTTGGACGACGTCTTGACGACATTTGGACGAATTCTGGACGGACGGGTCAAGAGGGGTGGTCGACATCTGGACGAGATCCGGTCGACATCACATGTACGATAGGACCGCGGAGGCCAACATAGTCTATCAATGAAGGCTCATCGGACGGGGCCAGGACGAGGATAAACCTGTGCCAGAGCGTTTCGGAACGCTCTGACAAGGCCGCGGCGCCCGAGTCACATCCCAGAACCGCTGGACCTCAGAGATTTGTGATTTATCCGTTTCCGATGTTATCCTCGTCCTGGCTCCGCCTCACGTATTACTTCTCGGGGCTTCCTGAAGTTTTCCTGGCACCATCTCCAGCCGAAAAGCTTCGGAGGCAAATCTCGTTTCGTTTCTTCAAGCTCTTCTCTGTCGTTGGCCTCGTGAGGTCTCGCTTGAGGCCTTCTGGGTGTCCCATTCGGGGCTTTTTGCGGCCTCGTGGAGGGTTGTTGGGCTGTCCTGGGCTGGCCTTGGGCCATCTCGCGACTGTCATAGAGTGCCAGGCACGGGGCTGCTGTGAGGCCGCATGCCGGAGAGCAGTACGAAAAAGGTCGGACTTTTTTGTTGGAGGGCGCTCGCGGATGAGTGTTGAATAACGCGTCCTACAACCCTACCAGACAGCTACCATTAAGTCGGGCCTGTCCCTCTATAGGGGGAATATTCAAAAATAGTCAAATGATACTATGGGGACGATTTTTCCCAACCATCCTGTGGTGTTGGGTCCTCGTTTTGAAGAGACGGTGCCCCGCGTTCCTCTCCTCTCCTCCTCTTCCCCCTCCTCCCTCCTCCCATCAGCATCATCATCATCATCGTCATCATCATCATCGTCATCATCATCATCATCATCATCATCATCATCATCATCATCATCATCATCATCATCATCATCATCATCATCATCATCATCATCATCATCATCATCATCATCATCATCATCATCATCATCATCATCATCATCGTCATCACCCACCATCATCGTCATCATCACCATCATCGTCACACCTCTCACACGTTTCGTGGCCCCATAGGGAGCTCCACCGAAGGCCCCAGTGCTGCCGCCCGCATGCGTCAGCCACACCCAATTCGGCATACCCCTCACACGTTTCGTGGCCCCATAGGGAGCTCCACCGAAGGCCCCAGTGCTGCCGCCGCATGCATCAGCCACACCCAGTTCGGCACACCCCTCACACGTTTCGTGGCCCCATATGGGAGCTCCACCAACGGCCCCAGTGCCGCCGCCCGCATGCGTCAGCCACACAAATTCGGCACACCCCTCACACGTTTCGTGGCCCCATAGGGAGCTCCACCGAAGGCCCCAGTGCTGCCGCCCGCATGCGTCAGCCACACCCAATTCGGCACACCCCTCACACGTTTCGTGGCCCCATAGGGAGCTCCACCGAAGGCCCCAGTGCTGCCGCCCGCATGCGTCAGCCACACCCAATTCGGCACACCCCTCACACGTTTCGTGGCCCCATAGGGAGCTCCACCGAAGGCCCCAGTGCTGCCGCCCGCATGCGTCAGCCACACCCAGTTCGGCACACCCCTCACACGTTTCGTGGCCCCATAGGGAGCTCCACCGAAGGCCCCAGTGCCGCCGCCCGCATGCGTCAGCCACACCCAATTCGGCACACCCCTCACACGTTTCGTGGCCCCATAGGGAGCTCCACCGAAGGCCCCAGTGCTGCCGCCCGCATGCGTCAGCCACACCCAATTCGGCACACCCCTCACACGTTTCGTGGCCCCATAGGGAGCTCCACCGAAGGCCCCAGTGCTGCCGCCCGCATGCGTCAGCCACACCCAATTCGGCACACCCCTCACACGTTTCGTGGCCCCATAGGGAGCTCCACCGAAGGCCCCAGTGCAGCCGCCCGCATGCGTCCCCACACCCAGTTCGGCACACCCCTCACACGTTTCGTGGCCCCATAGGGAGCTCCACCGAAGGCCCCAGTGCTGCCGCCCGCATGCGTCAGCCACACCCAATTCGGCACACCCCTCACACGTTTCGTGGCCCCAGCCCGCATGCGTCAGCCACACCCATTTCGGCACACCCCTCACACGTTTCGTGGCCCCATAGGGAGCTCCACCGAAGGCCCCAGTGCCACCGCTCGCATGCGTCCCGCACACCCATTTCGGCACCTCCACCAAACACAGCGTTTCGTGGCCCCACAGGGACCTCCACCGAAGGCCCCAGTGGTGCCGCCCGCATGCGTCACCCCCACCCCAGCACAGCATTTCGTGGCCCCACAGGGAGCTCCACCGAAGGCCCCAGTGGTGCCGCCCGCATGCGCCACCCCCACCCAGCACAGCGTTTCGTGGCCCCACAGGGAGCTCCACCGACGGCCCCAGTGGTGCCGCCCGCATGCGTCACCCCCGCCCAGTACAGCGTTTCGTGGCCCCACAGGGACCTCCACCGAAGGCCCCAGTTGTGCCGCCCGCATGCGTCACCCCCACCCAGCACAGCGTTTCGTGGCCCCACAGGGAGATCCACCGAAAGCGGCACCCGCAATGCGATATTCACAACTGCACATGGTTGGGTCCTTCGCCAGGATAATTTTCTCCATTTTTGAACATGCTTGGTGTATTTTAGGGTATTGTTTGTTTTTCGTCCAAAATCCGCCTGTAGGGGGACACGCCCGACCTAACAATACGAGGACGGTCGGACTTTTCCGGAGGGCGCTCTCGGATAAGTGCAGGATCACAAGTCCTACAACCCTACCAGGCAGCTGCCATGCATCCCGACGCACCCCAACGTGTCGAGGGAACGGTGACGGAATAGCCTGTCTCGTTTCGTCCAGTTTCAACTCTGGCAGACTGCTTTCCGTTTGAGTGGCCGAGGCTGGGAATGATATTCAGAGGAGCGCGTGAGTTTGATTACCACACCACATGTGGGGCGCGGAGGAAGGAGGCCAGGTACCCTTTTGTGTTGAAGTACCTCGTGCCAACTCAGCGCGAGGCGCGCTTTGCTCCTCTTGCCGCGTCATGTCTGCTTCAGCTGGGCTGCGGGGCTGGAGAGGTAATGCCAGACTAAGAGAAGGTACCTATACCGCCACCCTTCCTTTGTTTTTTCCAATTATTGGCCTCCTCGGAGGTCCTCGTCGCCACCGCTTGATTCGCCTGGAAGTTCTGGCCAGAACGCACCCCCGGAGATGTCCGGGGGGTAGCGGTATTACCTTGTGGTTTCCCCGTGATGGCTTGCTTTGCTGTGGACCAGATGTCTGGCCATCTGTTTTGCGTCGTGCCGCGGCCAGTGCTGATGTTGGCCCTGGGCGGACCGACGAGGACGGGGTCACGGCGGTGGAGAGTCTCATCATCGTCAAAGCCATCCCCGCTCGCACTGGGACAGGGCAAGCCAGCTTTCCCAGCGCCCCCCCTCGAGGTGGGGGTCGCTGCCGCCCAGTCCTCACCCAGGGGGGTAGGTCGGCCAGCGGTTCCAGGGTGGGGACAGTTCCATCGCCACTGGTGTACGCAGCTCGGCTCATCCGTCGTCGGGCTCGCTGACAAATGATGGTGGCTTCCAGCCTGACGCATGACCTCGAACAGTGCCACCAGTCAGCGGAGCTGGCGAGGAGCAATGGTGCAGCTGACTCCACTTGGGCAGACCAAGTGAGGTACAGTGGGGGCCCATGCCAAGACACACCCCGCTTGCCTCCAGGGCGCCCTGGGTGTCTTGGGTTTCGCTGGTTTCGCGATGGAAAGCGCGACGCTCCCTCACCAAGAAGCAGTGGAACTCCTGGGGTCTCAGGGTTGGGTTTCTGTTGGAAGGCTTCTTGTGGTCGGGCCCCTGCTGTAGTGCGGGCGTCAGGGCGCCGTGCAGGGCGGCAGGGGCCGCAGAGGGGGTCTCGGCGGTGTGCACCTTCCGCGGAAGAGGGAAGGGCCCTGTGCCTGCCCCCCCCCTCTTCGATCCATCCTCTTCCTCCTCTTCCTCCTTCTCCTCCTCCTCCTCCTCCTCCTTTCTCGTTTCTTCTCCTCCTCCTCCTCCTTCCTTCTCCTCCTCCTCCCCCTCCTCCTCCTTCTCCTCCTCCTCCTCCTCCTCCTCCTTCCTCCTCCTCCTCCTCCTCCTCCTCCTCCTCCTCCTCCTCCTCCTCCTCCTCCTCCTCCTCCTCCTCCCCCTCCTCGTGAGCAGCGCGTGCGCTGATGTCCCTTGAGTCCTTCATCAGGCATTGCAGACGAGGAGATCGCCTCGAGGTATCCGCATACGAAGGATGCCACGCGGCCGCTTCTTCGGAGGCAACCTGCAATCGCAATTGCGACCCCGCTTAGCGTTCTGCGCTAGCTGATAAGTTTGAATGACTTGCACGCGAGCGTGATTGCGAACGTGCGTCTGATCGAGGCGGCGCCAAGTCCGTCCAGACTCGATGGCCCGCTCGTTCCCTGGTTCGCTGCCTCGTTCCATGGCTCATTCCTTCGCCTCCCTGGCTGCCGTGCTCATCACCCTCTCAGTACCGTGCCCACCGCCCACCAAACCACCCCGATCCAACCCGAAGGCCCAGGGCCCCGATCTGCCCTCCATCTCCAGGGGGGGGGGGGGCCGGGGAACACTGCCGAACACACACCTGAAACCCGTGGCAAACAACACACAACTGTGGGGAAAAACACACACTGTGGGAAAGTCGGTGTGTTTTTTTCCCACGTGTGTGTGTGTGTGTGTGTGTGTGTGTGTGTGTGTGTGTGTGTGTGTGTGTGTGTGTGTGTGTGTGTGTGTGTGTGTGTGCGTGTGCGTGTGCGTGTGCGTGTGTGTGTGTGTGTGGTGTGTGTGTGTGTGTGTGTGTGTGTGTGTGTGTGTGTGTGTGTGTGTGCGTTTTTTTCCCACGTGTGTTGTTTCCCACAGACGTGTGCCTCTCCCCACAGTGTGTTTCCCACCCCCGGATCTTCGGGTCGCGTTGGGGTGGTCTGGTAGGCGGCCACGCGCGGGCTCGACCCGCTGTCCCGCGCAGCTGTCGCGTTCCCCCTCGGCCCCCTGCGCAGGGCTGCCCCCGTGTCCTTCGCGGCCGTCCCTCCCCGCTCGTTTCCTTGTCCTGCGGCCAGAGGGCTCGTGCAGTGGAGGCCCATGCCAAGGAACACCTGTCTGGTTTGGCTCCCTCGCCTTGATGATCAGGGCGAGTCATGTTTTAGCTGGCGAACGGTATACTATAAACGTTTCCGCCATCGGAAGCGCTTGTTCCAGGGCGGTTGGACAGTTTAGACACCCACCTGCCCCCGATGCCGTAAACGTTTCATGGCATACCGTCTTTCGCCCGCCAAGTGTTGATCTAGCGACTTGGAGGCTGCGCATAATGCCTCAACACAGTGGGGGCCCATGACCAGAAACACCCTGCTTGCCTCCAGGGTGCCCCGGGTTTCCTGGGTTTCGATGGTTTTGCGATGGGAGCCGTGGCGTTCCCACACCAAGAAGCAATGGACGTCCTGGGGTCTCAGGGTTGGGTTTCTTGTGGAAGGCTTCTTGTGGACTGGCCTCCTGTACGCCGAGCGTTCCGGGCTACTCGAGCGCGCGTGCGGATTGCCTCTGTCGCGCTGCGACGTGAAACGTGCAGGGCTAGTTCGTCGTCTGCGCTCGTCGCCGACCCCCGGACTGCCCGACTTAGACTTCGGCGGCGAGCCTGGGGGGGAAGCGAGAAGGGGCGGGCCTTCGCCTTCTGCGAGGTTTTTCTGGGCCTTCCCCGAAGGGCACGGAGCATTTCTCAGGAGGCCCGAGTGCTTCTGCGAAGCCCCGCCGCGTTTGAGGGGGCTTCTCCTCCTCCTCACTTCCCCCCTCGCTCCCCGCCGAGGACTGCTCCTTCTCGGGTTGACCCACAAGGGGATCCAGCGACAAGGTGGTGGTGCAAATAGATTTGGTGCAAAAGATTTGTGGGGTTGCAATACGTTTGGGGCGTGCAATACACTTCAGGGCGCAAGTTTATTGCGGGAGTTTCGCGTGCAAGACATTCGTCGCAATACAATGCAATACGATTCTCCGGCGCAGTACATTTGCAACACCATTGCCCCAAATCTATTGCACCACCCCTTTTCAGCTGGACCCCCTCTTGGGTCGACCAGACCGTCGTGCGCTGCCTTGACGAGCCACGATCGCGCCTCGCCTCTCTTGTTGTCGGCGGGTCCCCAGGGCGGGGCCTCTGGTTTCGGAGTTCCCGTTCTCTTTCCTTCCCGGGCTTCTCTGCCTTCCCAGGGTACAGGGGCGAAGAAAGAACGCACATCAGAGGATGAAGTGGTACCGATACCGCTACCCTTCCCGCATTTTCCCTTTTTCGGGCCTCCTGGGAGGCCCTCGTCGCTACGGCTGGATTCGCCCCAAACTTCTGGCCAGAACGCACCCCAGGCGAGGTCAGGGAAATAGCAGTATGGATACCGTTTCCTTCCCAAAGTGCACGTACAGAAATCCACGTCAGTTTCGAAAGCACGCCTCGCGCGAACGTTCGTGTCAGGAGGCTGGTCCCGCGGCGTGGGGGTGCGTATTCATGTGCGCGGTCAGGCACGTACGTTCTGTGTGGGCTCCCTCGGGTTTCCTCCCGGGGTTTCTCCCCGCCCCATCTCCCGGAGCGTCTGCGCTGAAGGTGACCAAAGTGCTGGCGTGCTTGGTCGAGGCCTGCCATAAGCAGATCCCGCCAGACGAGCTGAGGCCTGCCCCCGGCCCCGCCCCCGCGGATCGACCTCGAGCGGCAGCACTGTGTGTGCGATTGAGGCCACGAGGCTGATTGGCACAGCTTCGTGTCAAGGGCGGGGCTCGCCTTCTGAGTCCTGGGGGCGGCATCCTGCACTCTCTGGTTTTGTTGTGCCATGGCTCTGTGCCTTTCGCCCCACATTCTGCTTCTGCTCACCCGTTCTTCCTTGAACCATTCACCCTCCTTTCTCTTTATTGTTCAACGACCTAGTGGCCCTGGTAGCGCGGATCGGCAGATGATCACGAGGTATCGTGGCCTCAATAGTGCGGACCAATTAGTCGTTCGATGCGTCCCAGGGCGGCCAGGTGTTCTGAAGACGGCTCGGGGAGGGAGAACGCAGTTTTTTCAGGCCCCGGCGAGGCGAGCGCGCTCGAAGCTTGGAGTCCACGTCGGTGAAAACTGTGCAGTTCTGCGCTTCTGGGGCCTGGTGGGTGAGCTCAGCTGTCATTCGGAGGAGGAAAAGGTACCCATACCTCTACCCCGTCTCCTGTTTTCCCCTTTTTGAGCCTCCCGGGAGGCCCTCGTCTCCACCGCTGGATTCGCCTCGAAATTCTGGTCAGAGCGTACCCCAGGAGAGAGTCTGGGGACCAGCGGTATCAGTACATTTTGCTCTCCCCAGTCATGGTTGCCACATGGTTGATATCGAAGACGCCCACGGCGAATCACCGCCGCCCCCCGCCTTCTAGAATCGCCCATGTGGCCGAGCGTTGTGGCAAAAGCTCTGCCAGGGTATCGGGCCATGTGTTCCCCCAACCGTTGTGGAAACCCTTCGGGGAACACTTGGGGGAGGATGGCGGGGAAGATCAAGAGGAGGCGGAGGAGGAGGAGGAGGAGGAGGAGGAGGAGGAGGAGGTGGAGGCGGAGGCGGAGGCGGAGGTGGAGGAGGAGGAGGAGGAGGAGGAGGAGGAGGAGGAGGAGGAGGAGGAGGAGGAGGAGGAGGAGGGGGAGGGGGCATCTTGGGAGCCTCTGGGGACACTTGGGACCTCCTGGGAGCTTCCTGGGAGCCTCTTGGACCTTTGGGGGCTTCTCGGGGGCCTCTTTGGTCCGGGTGGGCTCCTGGTCAGTCTGACGCCGTCGGAAGCCGTCTTGGGGGCCTCTCTTGGCCGACTTGGGGCTTTCTTGGGGTGCTCCAGGGCCGTCTTGGAGGCCATCTTGAGCGTCTTGGAGGCCTCCTGGCCCGTCTTGGGGGCCTCTTGGGGCCGCCTTGGGGACCTCTGGAGACCTCGTGGGCGCTCTGTGGGGGCTCTTGGGCCGTCTCGGGCCGTCGGAAGGCCGAACAAAGCAAATGCCACAATCCTTCAACAATTCATGGAAATCAATGATTTGGGCCTTTTCGGGCCTTCTTGGAGGCCCTCTTGGAGGCCTCTTGGGCCGTCTTGGGCCATCTTAGGGCCATCTTCGGCCATCTTGGTGGGCTCCTGGCCCGTCTGCCGGAAGCCGTTTGGGGGGCCTCTTTGGGCCGCCTTGGGGCCCTCTTGGAATGCTCCAGGGCCGTCTTGGAGGCCATCTTGGGCATCTTAAAGGCCTCCTGGGCCGTCTTGGGGGCCTCTTTGGGCCGTCTTGGGGGCCTCTTGGGCCGTTCTGGGGCCATCTTGGAGCCAGCCAGACCAGATGCAATTATCCCGGCAAAGCAACCTAACAGCGATGTGTATAAGCATATCTGGAAGCATTCCCCTTAAGATTCAGGTGAGAATCCAGTTGTAGAATTCTGCTGTTCTCTCAGTCGCAGTTGCATTCGCAATGACAGTCGCAGTGGCAACGGCCTTAGGATCCAATGGAATCCTAAGGATTCCTAGGGATACCTAAGGCATCCTTAGGCACCCTTAGGAATCCATAGGAATCCTCAGGAAACCTTAGGAATCCTTAGCTCAGCCTCAGCCTCAGCCTCAGCCTGCCTCAGCCTCAGCTGCATCAGCCTCAGCCTCAGCCTGCCTCAGCCGCAGCTTGCCTCAGCCTCAGCCACAAGCCTCAGCCTGCCTCAGCTTCAGCCTCAGCCTCAGCCTGCCTCGGCTTGCCTCAGCCTCAGCCTCAGTCTGCCTCGGCCTCAGCCTTCAGCCTCAGCCTGCCTCAGCCTCAGCGTCAGCCTCTCAGCCTCAGCCTGCATCAGCCTCAGCCTCAGCCTCAGCCTGCCTCAGCCTCAGTCTCAGCCTGCCTCAGCCTCAGCCTGCCTCAGTCTCAGCCTCAGCCTGCCTCGGCATCACCCTGCGTCAGCCTCAGCCTCAGCCTGCCTCAGCCTCAGCATGCCTCAGCCTCAGCCGCAGCCTGCCTCGGCGTGCCTCAGCCTCAGCCTCAGCCTGCCTCGGCCTCAGACTGGCTCAGCCTCTGCCTGCCTCAGGTCGGGCCCCACAGTTGACTCCGGGCATTCAAAATGTGGCCTGGGAATGGTGTTCTGGGAACACGAAGAACACGAAGTGGCCTACAGTTGGATCTGGACATTGAAAATGTGGCCTGGGAATAATGTTCTGGGAGCACGAAGAACACGAAGTGGCCTACAGTTGGCTCCGGGCATTCAAAATGTGGCCTGGGAATGGTGTTCTGGGAGCACGAAGAACACGAAGTGGCGTACAGTTGGCTCCGGGCATTCAAAATGTCGCCTGGGAATAGTGTTCTGTTGGCTCCGGGCAGTCAAAATGTAGCTCCTGGCAGTCAAAATGGGGAGTCCCCGGATTCCCGCGGCACTCCCCGGATTCCCGCAGCACCCGTCCGGCATCTGCCCAGACCCCCTTGGAGAGTCATGATGCTCTCTTTTGAGACCACTAGAAACCTATCAGTCTTCGCTGTTTGGTAACAAAAACTGCAATGCAAAAAAAGCTACAAAGCAGCAACAAGTGCAATGCAAAACAAACTTGATTTCGGTCGTCGTTGTGGTGATTGGCGCTGCCTCGCCGGATCTTCCCTAAACCATTCTCGCCCGGATCCTAAGCGAAGGCTGCAAGACGAAGCTCAAACTAGACCAACAAGACCAGCCAGACCAGATGCAAGAAAACATGCAATGCAAAAACTGCAATGCCCAACAAATAACAATGCAAACAAACTGCATTTCGGTCGTGGTGGTGGTCGGCGCTGTCTCACTGGACCTACCCTAAACCATTCTCGCCCAGATCTTAAGCTAAGGCTGCAAGACGAAGCTCAAACCAGACTGACCAGATCAGGCAGACCAGATGCAGCAGAAACTGCAAGGCAAAACACACTGCAAAGCAACAAACAATGCAATGCAAAACACTGCATTTCGGTCGTGGTGGTGGTTGGCGCTGCCTCGCCGGACCTCCCCTAAACCACTCTCGCCCGGATCCTCAGCTAAGGCTGCACGACGAAGCTCAAATCAGACCAACCAGACCGACCAGACCAGAGCTAGACTTGCTCTCTGTAAGCTTTGCGTCCTGACGTGTCCCCAAGCGCAGTCCGTGCACTGTCGAGTCAGATTTCCATTGCGGATCGTCGATGCCGTTCAGGGAGAACATGTTTGGAAGTTCATCCGTCGCTGGGCGAGGTAATTGCAGGCATCGTGCTGCTGCTTTCGGAGCGGGTGGGGTGGGTGGGGGTGGAGCTCACGCGCATCAGTGTGCTGTTTGGGCCACGTCCGGTGAAGTCCTGAGGTTACCCCCGCCCCCACCCGATGCATTGCCGTGTTGCTGCCTTGGGTGATGCCTCGCCATGTGCGCGTCGTCGTCATCGTCGTCATCATTGTCATCGTCGTCGTCGTCGTCGCTCGCCGTCGCCGTCGCCGCCGTCCTGCCCCGACCGAAGGCCCGTGGTCATGCACGTCATGAACTCCTTCGTGACAGAGGCCGCGCCGCACGGTGATCCCGGCCGGCCCGCCGCCCGCGCTCGTGAGCCAGCGCCGGTGGCGGCGTGCGCAGCCCCGCGGGCAGGGCGGCGTCTTGTCTTTGGGTCCCCGCGGGCCGTCGCTCTGCCGGGCCTCCCCGGGAGCCCGCGGAGGTGGAGACAGTTGTGCGCTCCGCAGCCCCGCGGGGAGCGCGGTGCCCCGTTGGGGTCCCCGGCGTGCCGGCTCGCCGCGGGACCTCCAGGGCCCGACGGGAGGGGCCGCGCAGTTCGCCGCCCCGCCAGGAGCGCGAGGCCTCGATGGGGCCCCCGCCCGTCCGCCGCCCCGCCGCCCGACTCGGCAGCCTCTTGTCGCGTCGACCTTCGGCGACCCCGGCACGGGTGTTCAATGTTGGATGCCGCCCCCAGATGGTCTGGTACCGGAAATTTTCGGTAGCGATTTCGACGCACCCCGAATTTCGGTAGCGACCGGATCTTCGTTTGAGGGCGTTGATATAGCAGATTTCAGAACGCTCTGATACCGGTATTGGGCGCTACATTTCGGTATTTCGGTAGCGACCGATCTCTGCGGAGCGCTACCGGAAATTTTCGGTAGCGGACCATCAGGGCCAGGCAGGGCCGCCTGCGATCCGATTCGCTGCGATTCGGTTCGCCAGCTGAGGCCGCGATTCCAATTCGGTGCGATCCGGCTCTTTTCGCCGGCACCGGCCAGGGCCAGCCGGAAGCGGGGCGCGGTGATTCGGTTCCGATGCGGTGCGGGACGGCTCGCTGGCGGTTCGATGCGCTGTCGATCCGATCCGATTTTGAGTTCCGACCCAGCGCAGACTTGCCAGTGGCCAAGAATCGGGCAACATATGGAACGATCTACGCAACATCCGAAAGCCGCCGATCGTTGAAGGGTGACCGATCCACGCGGCGTCAGAAACCACCGCGAGGGTCGTCACGACACGAGCCGCTTGCAGTGCGTAAAGCCTGTGGACATGTCGCGGGGGCTCCCTGGCCACCACCGTGCCATTGTTGAGCTACACTGTCAATGTTTCGCTCTCCTGGGGCTTTGCTGTGTTCCTGCTCGTTAGCATTTGTCACGTGGTCGGAGCTACACTGTCAATGCTGCGCTCTCCTGTGGCTTTTCAGTGTTCCTGCTCGCAGCGCACACCGCCGGAGGCGGCGGAGAGCTTGAGAGATCCACCTACCAAAAGGGTCGTCACGACACGAGCCGCCTGCCGTGCGTAAAGCCTTCTTCTTGTGCTGTGCTCTTGCGGCATCGCCAAGAAACACCCTGCTTGCCTAATTGCAGGGTGCCCTGGGTTTCCTGGGTTTCGATGGTTTTGCGATGGAATGCGTGACGGTCCCACACAAAAATGTCCATGGACGTACTGAGGTCTCAGGGTTGCGCTTCTTGTGGAAGGTTTCTTGTGGTCGGGCCCCTACTGTAAACTTCTTCGCCGTCGGGGACGCCTGCCTCCCGGGCGGCTGCCAAGTTTCTACCCCCGCGATGCCACGTAGGGGCATAAACTTTGCATCCGCCCGGGGGGCAGGCGTCCGCGACTGCGTAAGCGTTTCTTTTGTACCGTTCTTCGCCCGCTGGTTCCTGGCTTGACCACTGGCCAGGAGATCACGGACCAAGCTTCGGCCCATGATTGGGCAGGCTGTGTGTAGATCTGCACCTTCTCGTGGCCCCGCCGTGGTCGTTGCTGGCCTCACCGCGATCGTCGCCTGGAGGTGCCCGTCCCCTGGTCCCCCCCCCAGACTGCGCTGTGGGAACCATGCAGGTACTCTTGATTTGGTAACTCGGGAGGGAAAGAAACACACAGACACGGTCGATTGCCGACTCCCAGGAAACTATATGGGGACATATGGGAAGTGGGGCGGAAGACCCAAACCCTGAACATATAGGAAAATATGGGGAATCCTGGGATCTGTGTGTATTTACCATGTAACGCCCTTCACGGGGGTAAAAGCCAATTGGACCAAGTCTACTTGCTGGGGCGTCACGCTGTCACTTTGTTGGTTTCGTTTTGTCGCTTCACTGTTCCCTTCCATGCGCTACGTCGTTCACGAATCCATATGTATGCAATGTATGCCTGATGGTTGCCAAACAGAAACGAGATGAATCATCAGACACAACGAATAACTGATGCAATAATATTGTTTACTTAGACTTTACAGCCTCGCCGTTCCAGTAGGATTTGTTGCGCGTTGCATACGTGTGCGACATGTAGGATGCGCGCATGGCGGTTTTCTAAGAAGAATCCACGCGCCGGGCCTTAACGGTGACGACAGTTTCAAGGATGGGGGCCATCCCGTTGAACGAGAGGGCGCAGTGAACGTTGAAAAAAGTAGCGACAGTGTCACATTGGAGGCCTAAAACCGTCTTTGGGCAGCTGCCCCCTTTGCTCATCATCCTGGTCCTCCTCCTCGTCATCCTCCTCCTTGTCGCTCTTCTGGAGTGCCCTCAACCCTCAGGGGCGTCCTCAGCGTTCTGGAACTTTCTGGGTCGTTCAGGATACTTCAGGGGCCTCCTGGGATCTCCTGGGACCTCGTGGGGCCTCGCGGGGCATCCTGGGTTCTCCTGGCGCGTCCTGGAGCCTCCTGGGCTCTCCCATTGCCTCTGGGGACGTCCTGAAGTCTCCTGGAGCTTCCTGGGGCCTCCTGAGGCCTCCTGGAGTCTCCTGAGAGAGAGAGAGAGAGAGAGAGAGAAAAAAAAAAAAAAGAAGCCGTGCACGTCAGAGGTGCATTGGCAAAAAAGGGGTGTGAAACCACAGCGAAATGCGATGCGAAGCCTCCGGCGTCGTTGGCTCCATGCACAACGAAGGCTTGCCAACCTTTCGCAATTCCTCCCTAAAATCAATCATACAAATCAGCGTCATAAAACTCGCACACCAAACACAATCAAACGTTCTGCCCTTGATGCCACAAGGCGTGCAACGCTTCCTCGCCGCCGGCCGTCTGGCAAGCAAGGTCGTACACCTGAAACTTCCACGTGTTGCGGGGCCGCCCCCTGCGGCGAGCCCCAGCCTGCACGAGCTCGAAAGTGCCGGGTTGGAAAATGCACCTGCGCACGGGGTTGTTCCCTGGCATCAGGGCAATTTGCCCCAGGAGTTTCAACTGCCTGCGCGCCAGTACGTCGCTCAGCTTCTGAGCGCCACATCGCTGTAGAACAGTTTCGTTGCTAATGCGGCTTATGTGCGAGTGCTTGATGCCCGAAATCCGGCGCAGGCAACGCATCTGAAAAGCGTCAATCCTGCCGCGCTCTGCTTTTTTAAAACCAAGCAGTGTGTAAACAATATAGCAACTTGGATACTACACGCGCGTCAAAGACTGTTAGCTATTTGTCGAGGGACAATCGCGCGTGCTTCCACAATTTTCACAGCGTCTCAAAATCGGAGCTGGCCATGCCTAGCCGGCGGCTGAGTTCAGGCCCGCTCCGACCTGTGGAGCTCGAGAGTCCTCCTAAGTAAACCATGCTGTCCTTGCTCGGGATGGGGGCGCCGTCTGGCTTCGTCAAGGCAGTCTCGCACCAGACAGGCAAAGCTTCCAGCTTGCTCCAGTTGAAGGCAAGCCCGTAGTTGGACCCCGCGCAGTGGATCGCCCCCATCAGCCTGGAGACATAATCAGCACTGGCTCCAACGACAATGGTGTCGTCGGCGTAGCTGAGTTCACTAACGGGTATCCGGGCGTCTTGTGTCATGCCGTGTGCTTGGAAAGCCCGGCTCGCATCGTGCATGAGGACCGTCATGACGATTGAGAACAGGAGCGGCGATAGCGGGCAGCCTCGGCAGACGCCGAAGGCTTGTGGCCATGGCCCGGACGTCTGGCCCGCCTCCCTCAGTCGAAAAGATCTGTCCGTGTAGATGGCCCGAACTGCCTCTGCGAAGTGCCCGGGGATGCCGAAGCGGACGAGCGCCTGCACCAGGGCGGTCAGCGAGACGCTGTCAAGCGCCTTGGCCCAGTCCAGCGCCAGCAGGACCAGCTTGCTGGAGAGAGAACTCCAGGTGTCTTCAATCAATATACGAGCAACGAACAGTGCGTCCGTGGTGCCGCGTTTTGATCGAAATCCGAACTGCGTGTCCCGAATTCTGTCTTCGGCACCTGCGTCCTTCAAGCGGCCGAGGAGAACCATGGCGTGCAATTTGCACCCAATCGGAAGCAATGATATTGGCCGATAACTGGCACACTCGGCCGAGTCGCCGTTCTTGAGCAGCGCGATGACGACTGCTTCGTGCCACGCATCCGGCACGGCCTTATCGGTCCAGCACTTGTTGCAAATCAGTGTAGCCCACTCGAGAGCTGAGGTGCTTGGCGTGCAAATAGCCTTCCAGAACTCCCCCAGGATGCCGTCGCCTCCAGAAGACACCTTCCTTCTCAGTTTTCGCGCAGCATTTCGAACCTCTTCCGGGAGAATCGGGCTTTCTGGGACTGGGGGAACTGCTCCTATAAGGGAAGCGCATTCGACATCTGTCACGGGTCGAACAGCCCATTGAACTCTGGAAAAGTAATCAGCGAGCGTGTCTGCCCTTTGATCGCTGTCAACCAGTCTTCCGTTCGAGTCCTTCATGCGGCCCTGCCGCGCCACCGAACCTTTCCGCAGTTTCCGGATCTCGGCCCAATCCCCGGATGCGAGGAGATCGTCAAGCCACTTCTCTCTGTCTGCTTTGACCGACGCTTTGATCATGCCGTGAAATCGCTTTTCTCTGTCAAAGTCGCCGTTTCCCCTTGCTTCCCCTCTGCGCGTGATCAGCTCCAAAGTCGCAATGCTGATCCATGGTCGATGGCGAGTTGCCGGAACTGTAGGCAGGCACTCGCCAGCAGCATCATGTTTGAAGGCCACAACCATCGCTGTGTTCAACTCATCTAAAGTACACCGGTCAGAATCGAAATCTGCCATTTTGTCAGAGAGCGCGGCGTTGAAATCGCCAGCCACACTGCCGCAAGTCAGCGCCTGTAAGTCCGGCTTCTCGTTTCGCTCGCGAGTGGTTTTCTCAGCGCCCAGGCGCATGCAGCAGAGGGGCAGGAAATGGTGCGACGCAAGGGCCTTTATGACTGCGAACATCGTTGACAAACGACTGCCGGCCTTCAGGGCAAAGTAGATCATCGATTTGGCCAACATGTTCTGGACGAGCTGGACCAGGAGGCTTGGAACCGATGTTGTAGCACGTCATTTGCGCCTCCGGTGGGTGGTCGAAGAACGTGCTGCTGACTGGTAGTCCGCGTGTCCCACACAGCTCCAGCAGCAACTTGCGATTGGAATTCGGGCCCTGCTGTGCCGGCGGGCAGCCGAAGACATACGGCCCAATATGCGGTAAATCGCATGGGAATTGTC